CTATCTATCTATCTATCTATCTATCTATCTATCTATCTATCTATCTACTTATTTATTTATGGTTCCTGCGTGTGGGTTGGCACGCTCTTGCGGTGGCACTCATGCGGAGCACAGGTTAACTTCCAGAGTTTAATTCTCTCCTTTCACTATGCAGGTTCCAGGGTCAGAGATGAACTCAGGTGTCCAGGCTGGTTGGCCAGCGCCTTTCCTCGCTGAGCCACCTCTGGAGCCCATTCTGTGTCTTTCGCCATGGACGGGGGGCAGGTCTTTGGGGAGAGCAGGGAGGTGCCATGTTGGCCCCTTGCTCCGAGCTGAGCTGCATAGGGTCAGGACTGTGGGCACGGTTGTACCCGGGGCCCATCCTCCTGTGTGTGGCCATCAGGAGGGGCAGGGGGGCTCTTCAGTGCTGCCTTCCTGCCGCCTCCCTCACCCCCCATACCCAGAGCCACAGCCACGGTTTGCTCTGGGAACTCCGTCCAAGTTGGGTGAACCGGGCTCCTGAGAAGGAGCCTGTGTCTCAGAAGCCTCGTGTTCCAGGGGCCAGCATGCTGTTTGCCAGGTGGCAAATCCTCTCTTAGGTTCTGTTTAAGGCTCAGTGGGTAGGTGGCAGCTACTTCTGGAAACTCTCTTTTCTCCTTGTTTGTTTTTACGTGTGTGGGTGTTTGGCCTGCATGCCTGTCTGCCCGCCACATGTATCCAAGGCCCTTGGAGGCCAGAAGCGGGCATTGGGTTCCCTGGGACTGGATTTACAGACAGTTGTGAGCTGCTGTATGGGTGCTGGGAATCGAACCTGGGTCCTCTGGAAGAGCACGCAGTGCTCTTAACCATTGAACCATCTCTCAAGTCTCTGAAACTTTATTCTTAATTTCTTAAGATTAAAATTCAAAGCAGCCCAGGAAGGTGTAACGTCTAAACATATTTGCTCTGGCATCCAATCTTTGTGACTCTCCACCACAGGAGAGTATTACAAAACAACAAAACAAAGCCTCACCCACTCACAGTTGCCCTTCAGGCTGTTTCCGGGTGACAGCAAGGTAGGATGTGTTGGTTTAGCGCTTTCCCCTCAGGGCTGAATTCTGCTTTATTTCCGTCTCCTCAATTATCACATATTCTCTGTTAGCTTTCTGAGTGAGTCAAAAGAATATTTGTAAAATCTTCCCTCTCTACCTGTGTTTTTTGGAGAGTCTCTTTCTGTAGGCTAGGTTTGCCTGGCGCTCAGGGGCCTCACACTCCAGGCTCCAGGGCTGGCGTTACAGGTGTTCACCACAGCTTTTCCAGGTTTTTATTATGTGACAAGAAAGACTGCTCCGTTGGCAGAGTGCTCGTGCTGATCCCCCAACGTGTTTGGTCCCTAGGCTGCAGGCTGAACAGAGGAGCCTGCTGTGGTGGTGTGTGCTGCTGCTTTCTCCTAGGCAGGTGGGGACAGCTGAGTCCTGGGGGCCAGTGGCCAGCAGCTTAGACTAATGGGTGACTTTCAGGCTAGTGAGACACACATCAAACTCAAAAAAGGTGGATGGCACCCAAAGATTGACCCAGAAGTCTCTCTGTCTCTCTCTCTCTCTCCTTCTTTTTCCCTCTTTTCCCTCTTCCTCTCCCTTTTCCCCTCCCTCCCTCTTTCTCCTTGCTCTTCCCCCTCCCCCTCTCTACTCCTCCCCTTTGTAGATAAAGTATATTTATCATAACAACCTCATCTCTTAAAACCACTGTGGAGGAGAAATCCTTATTGTCCAGTGAAAAGCCTGGCACCTCTGGTTGACAGGGGCCAATTCTCCCCTGCCCCCAACCCCAGGATGCATACACTGGCTTTGTATTCACCCATGGAATCCACTATAAGTGTGGTTAGGGGAACATTTCTTTACCTTTTTGGGCTGTCTCAGAGCTTTTTTCCTGCAGCTGAATCTCGCTGCGAACCATGAATGCAGTTTAGTGGGCTGCTGGTTTACGCTTGTGTCCTTGCCCTCTACTTCAGTTTTCAAGTGTTTGCTTGAGGGTAAAGCAGACTTTCAGAATTGAAGCAGAGAAGACACAGTTCTTCTCTGGATGTGGGGCTGCTCAGAGTTCTGGTGTGCGCCCCTGGGAGGGATGAACACGGAAGAACTTGGGGGTCTTACTTGAATTTTATTTTAAAATTAAGAGCTTGAGAACCTTTTCTAAAGGAGAGCCTTTTTTTAAAAATCTGATTTTTACCTACCAGTCACCCTGAAGTCTCTACATGAACACCGCCACAGGCAATGGTTCTGAGGTAGGGTACTCAGGTAACAAATCCCACGGGGCTTCAGTGGAGGTGAGCGAGGTCAGAGGAAGCCATGGACTCTCTTCCAGGGCTCCCAACACACCTCAGCCTGCTTGCACCAACAGTCGGCCTTCAGGCTCAGGGCCAGCATTGTGGGAAAGCAGCAGAATGAGAGCAATGGCCTGTGCCTCATGTGCCACTTCAGAGAAAAAGACCTGTTGTGCACCACAAGGCTCCTAGGGTCTGTCACTCCCTGCAGGTTGCCTGTTCTCAAGAGCCATGAGGACAGATCAGAGAGAGAGCTCCCAGCTCTGGCCACTGGTCACTCAGTTCTCCTGCTAGATTACCTCAAAAGCCGCATCCCAGTGACAGGCAGGGTCCACCCTGACTTCTCAGTACTGTAAGCCAAAGTAAAGCAGCAGGCACAGGGAGTGTCCTGAGGCGTTGTTTTGTCTGAGGCCTCCTCTTGAACAGGAGTTAGAAAACCTTCAAGCACAGCTGTGCTTTGCGCGTTCCCATCCTTGAAGCTGGAGAGCAGCGTGAACCCCAAATCTGGGGTCAGGCAGGAGGCAGACCTACAGGGAGCCTCGTGGAGCTTCTCTGGTGGCTGCTGTGGGGGAACAGGGTAGACAGAGGGCACAGGGGGATACATTCTGGGTTGGGAGAAGACTGTCTGATCCCCACTTTTGAGCAGGGGCTGTTCGCTAGACAATAGATCTCCTCAAACCTCCTCCTCCTTCTATCATAAAAATGAGACAATTACAGAAAAGAGAATAGGTGCTTCTTATATACAGTAATGACTGAATAAATGAGAGCTATTATTCATCAGCAGCAGAATAAACCCACAGAAATGACGGAATGAAAAGAATCTCCTTTGAGAGGTTGGGCCAGCAAAGTGCTTGATGTGTAAACAGAAGGACCTGAATCCAGCCCTTGGGACCCACATCATAAAAAGCCAGGTGTGGTGGCACACGTGAGTCCCAGCACTGGGCAGGAAGAGAGATGAGGGTTATGGGGCTCGCTGAGCTCCCCTGCTTCTCAGCGAGAGAGGCTATCTCAGAAAATAAGGTGGCTGGCACCCGTGGTCATCCTCTCCACGTACACACAAGAACACTCACACAATTTGACATTGAAAACAACCCTTATTTCCCGATAGCAGGAGAGACTCCCCTGTCTCTGTAGTTAGGCTCAAGGTCACTGCAAGTTCTCAACCTCCATTATCGAAGAGTCTGCTCTTCCTACTGCTGTCCTCTGGCCAGATGCCGACAGTTCCTGCAGGGGGCAGAAGAAGGGACTGTGGCAGTTGAGTCCTTGTCACTGACGGAGACCCTGAGCCAGCGTGGTTCCGACACTTAGCCTCGGCTGGCTGAGGTCCTTCACAGCCACACGCCTGGCAGTGGTGCTTGAGGGCCCTGAGCTTGTGCATGCCAGGCCCGGGAACCAGCCAGTGGGGTCCCCGAGCTCCGCCTCTGCATAGTGACCCTTTGTGGGTCTCCATCTCTGGGGTGGAGACCCCCCATGCTGCCTCTCTTTTACTAGTTCTCAGAGACAGTGGAAACGTCCCTGGAGAAGAGAGCGGATAAGGAAACTGAGACCTGAATCACCCC